CGCAGTTGGCTCTTGCAGCTCACCCTGGCAGACGGTCTATAAATAAACCTGCAGTGGCAGAGTAGGGGTTTAGGTATTTGCATCGTGCGTATTGTCTTGGCTTTATTTCCTGCATTTTAACGATGGATGACAGATGCAGTTCAAATCTTTGTGGTGCCTGGAGCTTGTCTATTTTGGTCTCTTAGAAGAATAAAGGGGATGTTCGCCCCCATTGTTTGACTGTGCAGATCAGGTTACTACTATTAAAGTGAAGAATGTTTTTTCCTGTTCTATTTTGTATGTTTCACAGTAGGCTTTGGGTAGTAGGCCTCAGCATTTGCTTGCAATATCCATTGGTTTTCCGTGGCGCCTATTTGTGTGGATGAGTTACTAGCAGAAAGAAGGAAAAGAAAAAGCTGAATGGTTGTGGAACCGCAGATCTTGGGAATATAGGGAGCAGGTGTCATTTCCAAAGGAAAGTAACACTGGATTGCTAGGTAACAGCACTATTTAAAAGTACGTTTACTCTAGGATGCAGGCAGGGTAAGAACGGCATCTTGACTGGTTCTTAGGGTATATGCCACTGATAAAAACTTGGTCAGAGCCATTGCACTGGCCTCTTGAGTGTTCAGACGCAGACCTTTTTCGTGCTCCCATCGTTAATAGTGCAGATTCATACAGACCGTTCTTGTGAAGCACGTCAGTATTTTTGCTGAAATGAAAGAGATCCTTTTCTTGTCCAAATCTCCCGGTGTTTCTCCAGAGATACCGTCACGATGTAAGTCTGGGTTGGCAGTGAAAGAAGAAGTCCCAGACTTCTGTTTTGCCACATTCCCTCGCAGCAGCATTCATGCGGCCATGGGATGAGTTGGATCAGGGAGCTGATCTAGCTGAGAACTGTGACTGATTTACATGAATGCTAGAGCCAGCATAAGGGAGGTGATGGGAATGTGTGTTGGGGGGACACAGGGCTTGCTTTCTTGGTACTGTGTGCCCTGAGGTTGGTTCAAAGTGAGTATGTAATCCTCCCCTCCCTATCTGGAAGATGTCCTTGCTTTGTTTCGGCTCCCTGAGGAGGTCTACTTGCATGTTTGCATGCAGTTGACAAAATTATTTTATGTGGCCTGCTTCTGTTAGCTGGGATGAAATTTTCCAGAACTCCTCCATTCAAAACCCACTCAAGATTGCAGTAAATATAAATTAGTTCTTTAATCTCAAGGGAAAATGGTGAAGGTGGTAGCTTTAGTATGGCACTTGAAAATGGCGCAGTGGGTAAATAACTTCCAGAGGTTTATAACTGGTGAAGAGTTCCTTTGTTGTGCGGTGTTGGAATTTGATGTCCATCTGTTGCACTGAATGTGGGGGTAAGGCTGAAGGGCCCTTGAGAAGGGAGTGTTTGCTGCAGCAGGTTATTGCGTGCTGAGACTTATTCAGTGAAGTAGAAATCAGGTCGTTTTAGTGAATATTTGATCAACAGACTCCTTCACCCTTTCTGAATCTTACTCTGAACTCAGTCTGAGGTCTGTGCTAGCTTCTAACTGATATGTGGAGCGAAGCAAAGCATCTCTACGGTTCCAGTTTTAAGAAAGTAGTCTCTCTAACCATGAGATAGAGCCACTGCTAGAATTCAGGGGCAGCAGGGTAGGAGCTGGGAGAGAGGTTGCTCTGCACGGTTCTTTACCACTGCTTTGGTGCAGCTGCATGTGGCCTACGCTACATCAATAGTTGCCTTTGTGTTGGGCCTTTCATTTTAGGATAGTGTCTGTTTAAATACTGCTCTTGCCTAACATGAACAACTTGGAAATTAATCCTGCTTGAGCAGGAGATTGGACTAGATGACCTCCAAAAGTCCCTTCCAAGATAATTCCGTGGTCAGGAGTGTATTAGTGGCTAAGTACTAAGCAGCGGTGGTATTTTTCCCATCCAGGGTATTGTAGGCTGCACTCCTGTATCAGCTAGGCAATACCGACAGCAGATTTCTGGGAATTCCTGCAAATTTTCCTGTGCTTCAGGGTTATGGGGGTACTCTTCCCATACACCTCCGAGCACTGAAACCTGACGACCTGGGGAGAGCCACCTTCAGAAGCAGACTCGGGTGATGTGCATTCCCTTTGCCTGTGCTAAGTGCAGCCTCTGCTGAGGCTTTTTGAAGCCTCCCAGTGCGAGGCAGCATCGGCGCCGGGAAGGAGAGAGGTGCCGGGGGCGATGGCTGTCGTCGCTGTATAGCGGCTCTTCAACTTTGGCACCAACTCGGAGCACTCGTGTGGCAGCACCCAGCGTGACAGAGTGGGTGGCTTCTGTGCCCTTTGGAGTCTCGTTTAGTAATTAGCCGCTCCACAGAGCGGGAAACCGAGGGCGGAGGAGATCGAGTGCCCTGTTCACAGTCGCAGAGGGAGCAGGTCGGGACTGGATCTGGTTGAGGAGCGCCTGTAGACAGACAGATGTGATTCACTGTTCGTGAAGCTGCTTGCCCCTTTGAATGCTGTGCTCCATGCCACAGATGCATTCTTTTCTTCCCTCCACCCTGAACCTTCCTGCTAATTGGAAGCATCCCCCCCGTTTACTCAGTTCCTAAAAGGATGCTTCATACTAAATAATCAATCATACGAAGTTTCTTAGCTTGTGACACATCTTAATGTGCCGAGGAATAGTTCTTAGCAAAGAAGGGGGTGCTGAGTCATCCGGAAAAATAAACAGTCCTTGGACACTTAGCACTGTTGATGCTTCTGCCGGTAGTTGTGTGACTTCAAACCTTCAGTGCTGCCACGGGGCAGAAGCAAACGGTGACTCCTCCCAGGAGTGGGGAGTGAGTTCAGAGTTTAGGCAGCGCTTTGGGACTCTGACATGCAGCCTTGAGCACATCCAGCTATGCCGGTCATGACGTCGCTGTCCCTCTGACGGCGGGCAGAGCGTGCGCCCGCGCCTGCTCTGCCACCTCTCCTATTGGTCTTACGTAGTGGTGAGGACGAACAGCCACCGAGGCCACCGTGCCTCTACTACCAGGGGAGTAGAGCTGGGCTCCCTGGGAAGCGTCCGTCCAAGACAACAGAGAGGCCAACTGGCTGCTGCTGGTTGGGTCTTCCAGAGAGATGCAGGGCCTCGGTGCGATTCTGGAGGATGTAGGAGCAATATCACCCACTGGGTTTGAGTTTCACACGGGGAAACGGTACACCCAGGCGCAGGATGGGACACCGGCTGTCCTCCGTGCCGTCACGGGGCGTGGGCTTACAGCAAGGCACCGTAGCTGGACTTGCTTAGAAATCCTCGCAGCAGCAAGGCCCAGGTAATGGGACCTTGATTGCCAGCAGCACTGTAAATACCACAGGGTCTTGTTTTTGTTAGGATCACGCAGCTAGGTAAGGAGCTGTGGCAAAAACTCAGCCTTCTTGGAATCTCATTTCAGAGAAGGGACAGTGCCGGCAAGCTCTGAAGGGAAGCTCTGAACTCATCTGGAGATCTTCTACCCCACAGAAAAGTGGCTTTGTTTAGCAAATAAATGTAAGCTTTGTTGCTGATCTCTTCCAAACCTGCCGGTATGACAGGCGAGACTGTTTGCCACATATCGTGTGCTTTGCTCAGGGAGCGCTGCTACAAATTTGCTGTGGTGCACGTCTCCAGTACTTCTCATCTTGCTGTCAGGTAACGCTTGGGCTGTAGAACAACTGCAAACCCTAAAAAATACAAACATCTCCAAGTAAGCAAACGCACCGGGGGAAAAATAAAAACAACAGAGAGTAAAGATTTAGCCTGGGTTTTACTTGGTTGTAATAAGAACAGCTGTGGCATCGTCTGTCGGAAGGCTCTGTAGGTATTTTTTTCTCCCTAGAGAAGTTAGGTCAGCTTTGTTTTTAAAATAAAAGTTAAGAAAACGGCTTTACAATGTACTGCTACAGTTTGGCCCTAAGCTCATCAAAACTGGCAAAGGGAGATAAGCGGTCAATGTATTTTTAATGTTTACTTTAGAAAGGAGAGAAGCGGAGCACGTGTTGGTTACCCTGCCGAGGTCTGAGCAAGCGGTGTCATGCAGCGGTAGTTGCAGTGGGAGGGAAAGTCTTCGCTTTACCTGAGCTGGCCTGAAAGAGGACTGGCTCTAGGTCCGTGTCGTTCCCTCCCGGCGCTTGGATCTGCCGGCGTAGCTGCCTGGGCCATCGCTCCCTAGCCGATGCCTGGCAAAGTGACGCGGGTTCAGGTAAGCCTTTGCGATTGCGTGTGCAAGGCGGTCCCCGTGTCCGACAGAATGAGATGAGGGAACCCCCATAGGTGTCGTCGGGGAAGAGGCTATGGTAAACTCAGAGGTTAACCTCATCACCCGGCTCTGCTGCAGTCGGGGCAGCGTTTCAGTTGAGGCCGAGCGTGCACCATAAAGCTGCAGGGAACTGTTTCATCTGGGCAGCCGTAATAGGGCGAGATTGGCAGAGGTGTGATGCTGGTCTCTAAAGGCAGGCTGCTGAACACCTAATTAACTCTATCCCAGCTGAAACCAGGACCATCTTGTATATGCTAAGAGGGAGCGTGCCCCCACCGGCAGAGCTTTGTCTTGTTTCTTCTCTGGCAAATTGTTTCTTGAAGCTCTGATGCCGGTCTGCAGAGTATCTCTGGGTTTTTGCTTGGTTTTTATGGGTAACATCGGTAGCTTTTACGAGTAACTCTAGTAGCTGTTACTGGTCACTGCGGCCTCTAAGTTGGTTCACATCCAAAGTCCTCAAACCTGCTTGTTGTTAGGTGGTTCACAGTGCACGCAGAAAGGGCCCTTACCTCCGTGCACAGGAGACTGCAGCGCAGCGATATTGAATCCAGCGTCGTAGTATACACATCTGAATTAATACTGTCTGCTGAATTCAGGCAGGGGTTGTTGATCTGCTTTGCATCGTGCTGCGGATGCTGTTAGCACTCTCTGTGCTGTGGATTGCGGTGACTAAAGAGGTGCTGAGACTCTAGCGTGTGATCCACATACGCAAAGTGAAGTGATACAGATTTTGTCCAATTTCCAGAGTTCATAATTCTCTTGTTTCTTACGCAGGGCGGGTTACCGGAATCCAAATGGCTCTCTTGAACAGGCGGTTGGGTTTATCCTTAACCCATCTAAGCAGCACAGTGATCCAGCGACACTTAAGGTAATTTTCAAATCCTGCTTTTGCTTTTGTGTTCTTGGGAGAATTTCCTGATTGAAGGGAGATGCTGTTAAGTAGGTCAAGCGTAAGATACAGTGTTTCTAATTCAAAAAAGATGTTACAATAAAACAGAATCTCATAGCTGTCCCTTCACAGGTTGTAAAGTGAGCCCAAACACAACCAGGGATGCAGGTTCCTGGCAGCCTGAGTGTGGTCTGAACTCTGCATTTTTGTGTTCTTGTGAGGAGGCTTTTCGGCCTTCGAGGGCGATGCAAGGGCCTGCAAGCAGAAGTTGAAAGTGCCTGTGTTTCTCAGCCAAGTCCAAAAAGGCAACAGCCATTCCCTGCTGATGTAAAGCCAATTACATGTTTAAAATTATTCCAGAGTTTGTCATTTCAGTTATTTAGAACAAGAGTAACCTGAAAAATTATTGCCTCGTACCTTAACAGTCTCCATTTTGTTATTTTTCTTTATGTCCTTGTTCCAGGCTGAAGGCATTTAAAGCTTCTTAAATTTACGGACCTCATGTTTTACAACGCCTTGCACAAAGCTTAGAGCCTAATCCCACAGTACGCTTGGTGCGGGTATGGGGAATCCCTAGCGTATAGCTCTTTGAAGGGTCAGGGCTTCAGTTTATAGGGTGAGAATAGTCATTCCCATGACTGTGGTCTGGAGAGGGGATTAAGACAATGCTGAGGGCTAGGTTGTGTGATAGTCCCAGGAGCTATCTCGAGGAGGTATCTAAGTCTTACTGGCTTTCTCTGTAAATGGGCTGCATGAGAGCATTGGCCAGTAGACATTTAAAGGATATATATATACGCTGACAGCAAGAGGGAGGCCAAGTCCACAGAAGTGAGCAGTGCTACTGCGGGACATCAGCAGTCTTAATGGGGAAGCCTTTTCTTTGTGGTGGGCCTGCTTTGGATGTGGTGGGGTTTTGCTCCAAGGCTGTGGTAGAAATGAAGGAAGGAGGAGAAAGAAAAAGTCCTCCTTGTGCAGTTACTCTTGTCTAGTGGTACCTGGGCAATCACACTTAGAGTTGTTTGTTACTGCTGCGTTGTGGACATGGTCCCACCTAGGTTTCCCCTTCTCCTTCCTGCAGCAACACTCTTGTCCCTTTCCAGGCTCCTCCCTGCTGCCTTCCCTGCTGTGCAGCCACAGCCTGGCAGGCGGAGGATAGAGTGTGCTATACCACAGTCCCTGCCAGGGGATAGGATGGGAGAGGGTGGCTGCTTGCAGAGGTGAGTGACTTCTGAGAGAGAAGAGAGGTGTCCTCTTGTAGAGGAAAGCTGGGGTAGGCCTCTGCTGCAGGAAACAGAGCTTGAAAGGCAGCACTAGACCTCTGGAGCAGTTAGACTAATGCAGACTGATCCAGCTGGCCTTCCCTTGCTGCACGTAAAAATGCCTGCTTCAACTGATGTCCATCCATGCTGTGTTTGATACTCAGGGGATAGCTTGCTCTTCTTCTAGGCAGCATTGCAAATACAGGTCCTTCGTCTTCAAGAAGGGGTGGTGGTCCCCATTGGTCTTTATTTACTGTACACGCTTCTGCTCTGCAAAACAAGGTGAACGGTTAGGTTGATTCTATATGCTGTCTGTTCGAGTAGTTCAGCTGACAGCAGCTTGGCATTCTTGCAGCTGTCTGGCCAGCATGTTTCTAGTACCTTACTACAAAGCAGTTGTTTAGCAGTAGAAAGGATCTTCCTGCTTTTTCCGATGGTCTGTGTTTGGGTGTCCTTCGAAGAGAAGCAACAAATCACTTGAATTTGAGCTTGCTGGATAAAAGAATAGCTGTTCCTGAAAGGGAGGTTGAATTATTTCTCAGTTTA